CCTTGGGTGAGTTCGGGGGTTACTGGTTCCAGGTCCAGGGTGATAAACATATCCTGGCTGTTGGGGAAACCGGTTTCTCCGTTTCCTTGCTGCTGTGAGCTATCTACATTATCTCCATCCTCATCTTCCTCGTACCCCGAACCCGCTTCCCTGTGTGTTTCTCCAGTGAGGGAGTCATAGCACACGGTTGGGGTAGTGGTGGCTGCACCCCCTAGAATGGCATGCAGCTCCGCGTAGAAGCGGCATGTTTGCGGCTCTGCCCAGGACCTTCCGTTTGCTTCTCTGGCTTTGTGGTAGGCTTGCCTTAGCTCCTTAATTTTCACGCGGCACTGCTGTGCGTCCCTGTTATGGCCTCTGTCCTTCATGGCCTTGGAGACCTTTTCTAATATTTTGCCATTTCGTTTACTGCTTCGGAGTTCAGCTAGCACTGATTCATCTCCCCATATGGCGAGCAGATCCCGTACCTCCCGTTCGGTCCATGCTGGAGCTCTTTTGCGATCCTGGGACTCCATCACGGTTACCTGTGCTGATGAGCTCTGCGTGGTCACCTGTGCTCTCCACGCTGAGCAAACAGGAAATGAAATTCAAACGTTCGCGGGGCTTTTCCTGTCTACCTGGTCAGTGCATCTGAGTTGAGAGTGCTGTCCAGAGCGGTCACAATGAAGCACTGTGGGATAGCTCCTGGAGGCCAATAACGTCGAATTCCGTCCACACTACCCCAATTCCGACCCGCTAAGGCCGATTTTATCGCTAATCCCCTCGTCGGAGGTGGAGTAAAGAAACCGGTTTAAAGGGCCCTTTAAGTCGAAAGAAAGGGCTTCGTCGTGTGAACGTGTCCAGGCTTAATTCGATTTAACGCTGCTAAAGTCGACCTAAACTCGTAGTGTAGACCAGGCCTCAGTCTATGGCTAGTATTGCATGACCTTTGTATGGCTTCTGAGCATAATAGGTATGGTAATTATGTTCTAGTCTTTCTGTGTTTCCTAATTTTTGGGAAGGGATCTCTTATCAAATACCTTATCTGCTAGGCCCCAAGGATGAGACCACTGATGATTTCTGGAGAATGATCTGGGAACACAAGGCAACAATTATTGTTATGGTGACTCGCTGTGAAGAAAATAATAGGGTGAGCGTGATATATATATATATACACACACACACACATTAACTGCAGTATACAGGAGGTTGCTCTGCTGTGGTGAATTATGCTTTTCTTTTTTCCTTTAAATGTTTTCTCTGCATTCAAGTATTTCTTTTGAATCCTTGTTCATTCTTGTTTTTACTCTCTATTTGTGATAGAATCTCAGAAATTGAATAACATTAACAAGCCTACATGGTTCTGTCTTTTAGACTATTTGATCAGCAGCATTCTCAATAATATCATCTGACGCACTGCCCTAAGGAATAGGGAACTACATTCTACCTTCTTGCAGATAAACCCGTAAGAGGGTATAACTTGCCCCCAAACTCCCTGAGTTAGAATTTGCTGAGCTGCACTAAAATCTCTCTCCCTCCCCCACACCCTTGCAAACCTGTCACAAAACTTAGTGAAAGAGGCGATATTCTGTATTTGGGACTTTCCTCCTCTCCCCCGAGCATCTTGTCCTAATGTCCTGGGGATGTCTCCACAGTTCTCTGCTATTTTGTTTTGTGCCCTCTTTTTCCTACTTCTGAAACCAAACTTGGAAGCAGCGATTAGGAGAGTGCTCACCACCCTGGGAGTGCCACGTTTCAGATGCAGATGGGAGTATTGATATTCTGATTGTTTTAAGGAGCAGAGCTGGCTGGCAGCATACATGTTTGCAGCATAGCCACACTGCTAACAGGAGTGGAAGGGAATTTGGGCATGAATTGCGAGAGGGGTTGGGACATGACTATTGCATCTGCAGCTATGTATATTCACTGATTAGAAATATAAGTAGGAGTCACAGAGTGAGCTGCAGTCTTTACTGTAGCCTTCAGGCAGTGACAATGACTGTGCATGGACTGTGCAGCTGTTTTGCCCCTGCAGTTAGGTTGGAGGATAGGATTCCTTCCCATCTTGTTCTCTATGTAAATCCCTTCAGGCTTTGTGCATGAGGCCAGAATCTGGATCTTTGGGTTTTTGAATGTTTAACTAAAGCAGTGGTAATCTCTTTAAGGGATAAACTACAGTATTTATCGGAAACTGAAATTGTACTGAAGTATTGGTTATGTATTTTATCTGGTGTTGATTTTATTTTATTTCAAGCTTTCTTCAGAACCTAATTTCACTGTCACTTTGATATCCTGCTTCTAATCCATTAACTTTGTATTTTCATAGAACAAATGTGCCCAATACTGGCCAACAACGGAGAATAGCACTGAAACTTTTGGGGACATTGTTGTGAAGAGCAATGAAAGTAAAATGTGTCCTGACTACATTATTCAGAAACTCCATATTACAAATGTGAGTTGTCTTATTAATGTGAGAATAATTTGAATTGGTCTGTACAGTTGGTATAAAGAGACTATTATCAGAGATTCTTCCAGAACAACAGTGACAGTTAGCATTTCCCCCTGTTTCTACCAAGCAACACAGAGCTTGAGAGAACACCTAGTAGATGATGTGTAATTTCATAGGGCAAATATGAATTGGAAACTTATCTCATTGCTAGGATTTCCCTCTTTACTGTGAGCCCTATATTCTCAACAGGAACACCAGTAATTTCTGTTCTATAAGCCAGCTGACAAGGCTGGATAAATTGTATGCAATATGCTGTGGTTTGGTCATAGATTTACCCTTTTTAAATTAGGAAAACTTGTTATTGGTTTATGAACATAGAATAATATAAGTTTAAATTAACACCGAGACGACCACATTAAATATTATTTCCCCCTAGTAAATTCACTCAAAAATGTGGCTCTTAGAACCGTATTGCCTGTCCTTGTCTGAACTGTACCGGGGGACAATTACAGTTTACGGTAACCTCTATTGTATTTATAAACTTCCGTGTTTTAGAGCTATCAGTGGTCAGTATGGGGTTTTCAAGTTTTTTAGGCCAATTACCAATTTCAGTTATACCAGTGAAGCACCACTAGTTGCTAGAGTGTAACTGAGTGTAGAATTTACCCTTTAGGAATACATTTTTCCCTTTTATTCCTTGCAACTTTATTTCAGTAGGGATACATAGAGTGTTAGTCAGGGCACCATTTATTGTTTGTTGTGTTAGATTTAAGGAATGAATGTGCTGGAGGTTCAGGTCATCTTGAAACATAAATAGTATAGCACCCTCCCAGACCCATCTTGGTCCCATGTTTTCATCTTTAGGCCCCAGTTCTACTACCTTTCCTCACACTGAGTAGAAGCTTACTCTGGAACTAGTCCCACTAAGCCTAAGATAGTTACCACTTACTGTGAGTAAGGTGGCCATACCCAGCCCCTTAAGACTTAAGTGTTAATAAAACACTGTGGCATCATGCATAGGAAAGACTCCAAATTACAATAGCTAGAGTGTTGCAGGTCAGAAGTAATATGAATTAATTTTTTTTCATGTATCAATTTGTTTGGTGCTTGCTTGCTTGGCTGTAAGATCATATTAAGAAAAAAATTAAAATTAAATACATTGTGACTGCTGTCACAGCTGATTATCATTCAAAGTACTGTAAAATATCAGTTGATTTTTATGTAGGCTAAGAATGGGGAAAAAACCAATTCAGACACCTTTATGAAACTTCCTAACACACATTATTAAAGCTCATAACTTAGTAGGAGCAACTGTACAATAATTTTGCAAATTCTATGCTCTGATTGGCTACCTGGGGCTCTCAGTCAGTTGCCCTAGGGTTGCCAGCCCTCCAGGATTGTCCTGGAATCTCCAGGAATTAAAGATTAATCTTTAATTAAAGATTATGTCATGTCCAGGAATACAGCCAACCAAAATTGGCAACCCTATTTGGAGATTCACCTACTGAATAGGTATTGGGGAATAAGCAGATGGTCATTATATAAATCAAACATCAGCTAGTCAGAGTGCAGAGTATTGCTTGCGTGTAAGAGAAGCATACAGTTATGAATCAGTGGTAGCATCCCAGCACTTTGCCTGGGTGAGATAATTCCATTTCAGTATATTACATCCTAAACAGGCCTGGCTTCAAGTTAATATCTAACTAAGCACAAGGTGAGAACATGTTACATGGTATATTCAGACTGCCACAATGATGGTATAGTCTGCTGACTGCAGAATGCTTCCTGAGAGACAATAATACAGGTTTTATTGTTCTTCTCCTGTTAGATCTCTGTCCTCAACTCTCCATTCACAACAAGAGAATGGAAACAGTCAAGATGTATGTTGTTGTTTAGTCCTTGTGATTCATCTCCATCATGTAGTCAATGGTGAAGTGCACCCATTGTAATTTTTTTTTCTTATTTGGATTCATAGTCATAGTTCTCCAGCTACCAAAATGTGTTTTCCCTTCTCCCTGCCTGATCCTGGCAACAACATATTAAAGCAGGGTCTGTGACCCTATGGGACCTGGTATGCTTTAAGCCTTGAATAAAGTGACTTAGAAATCATGAGCCACTTCAGTGATTGTCACAGGTTTGACAGCCCCACTTCTATTCTGAGTTGCTGTTTTTAGACTTCCTTCATTCCTTTGTGGGTCTGTGTGACCTTAGCAGGTAGTTAAAAGTACAGATGGCAAAATAACCAACAAATACACTTGGCAGCACATAGACCTGTATGGTGACTTCCTAAATGATTTACAAGTGCAGTGGAGAATACATGGTACATTCCACATAATCACAAAATAGAGTATTCTTATGATGATAATATTGGACTTAACCTTAGTGGATTGTCATTATATTCTTTCTTCAAGTTATGGCATGTTCCACATGTGTGTCTCTTATTTTTAACCACTCTTTTGTTATTAAAATTGGAAAATGTTCCAACTTCTGAAACCTTGGAAAGAACATGTGACTGTACAGTGTCTGGAATCGCTGTTGCAATACTAGATGCCTACTTTACCTATTTTTCTGCTTTATTCTATACTTTGTATATTTACATTTGATTTTGGTGTGGTACTAATGAAACAATCCCACATTTTCCAGAGAAAGGAGAAGACACCTGGGAGAGATGTGACTCACATTCAATTCACTAGCTGGCCAGATCATGGAGTGCCTGAAGATCCTCATCTTCTCCTCAAATTACGCCGCAGAGTTAATGCCCTAAGCAACTTTTTTAGTGGCCCAGTAGTGATTCATTGCAGGTAAATATTACAGAAACTTAGGGTTACCATACGTCCGGTTTTTCCCAGACATGTCCGGCTTTTTGGTAATCAAACCCCTGTCCGGGGGGCATTGCCAAAAAGCCGAACATGTCCGGGAAAAATACCACCGGCCGGGCACTTTCCCTCCCGCGGCTGCTCTGCTCCTCCCCTGACTCTTCGGCTCTGTTTAAGAGCCGAGCTGCCCGAGCACTACGGGCTTCGGGCAGCCCCCATGCCTCCGGACCCCGAGCCGCCGGCCGGGCACTTCCCCTCCCGGGCTCTGGGGGCTGCCCGAAGCCCGTAGTGCTCGGGCAGCCCTTTTTGCGTGGCTGGGAGAGAGGAGGGGGAATGCGGGGCGCTCAGGGGAGGGGGCGGAGTTAGGGCGGGGACTTTGGGGAAGGGGCGAGGAATGGGCGGAGTTGGGGCTGGGGAAGGGGCGGAGTTGGGGCGGGGCCAGAGGCGGGGAAAAGGGCGGGGCCAGGGCCCCGTGGAGTGTCCTTTTTTTTTATTTTTTAAATATGGTAACCCTACAGAAACTCTCTAATAGTAAACAAATGGCAG